GAGGCGGCTGTGGGGGATCTTTGGCTACTTAGTGTGTGGGTGTTATGTGGAATGGAAAGGAAAGCAAATGCATTTGGCAATAAAAGTGAAAAACCGCACTTTCGTTGCCAAAATACAAAACGCAGCTAACTAACTATAACTAGCTATATAGTACAGTGAAAGCTCCACTGACGAACAATGGGTGTTTGATTGCATATTGAGGATAAGCGAATAAATTCTAAAGCCAAACAGCATCATCAACAGCAGAGATCAGCAGAGATGGGCGATGTCTGTTATCCATGGCCCTACAGTGAAAACTCTATTGATGCACAGCTAATAGAATATAGAATCAATTCGTCGCAAGTTCTTTCGTTTGTCTCTTATCCTAACCTAGTTCAAAGCTAATATGCCCCAAACTATTTTGCTCATTTGATTTGTGTGTTCGCTATTACGAGCTTTCACTGTGTACTAACAACTATATGATATTATATATTTTTACTGCATACACATCATTCAAACCGGCTTGGTGCTTGGCGGTTGGCGTTTGGCGCTTGGCGCTTGGCTGGGCGACCGGTTAGCTGGTCAAGTGCTTCGTTGGCCAAAAAGGCGCCCAGCAACTTTCACAAGCCGTTGACTTGACTTTAGACAGCGGCGCAGACAATTAACAAATTGCATTCATTGTTGCACTTCTCGTCTTTATCTGTTGCTTGTTCTTCTTCTTCTTCCACAGTCACAATCGAAGGCGTCGACTCTGTCGTCGGGCGCACGCGCCGCTGCGCAAACGCTGAACGTGCCGCTGGAGCGTCTGGAGGCGCGACAGGCTGGGCGCAACGAGCACGCCCACTCCAATGGCCAGGACGAGCAGCAGCAACAGCAAGTGGAGCTGCATCATCATCAGCAGCAGCAACAACAACAGCAGCAGCAGCAGCAGCTGGACGATGCTGTCGAGGAGCACCAGCAGCAGCAGCAACACCAGCAGCAGCAGCTGGCCGATCAGCAGCGGTTCATGAAGCAGCAAAGCTATCTGCATTCGGCACGCAAGTCGAATGCCGGCCAGCAGCCCAGCTCCCTGACCAACGGACACCAGCAGCAACAGCAGCAGCAGCAGCACCAGCAACACCAGCAACAGGCATCGCATCATGATTTAGATGGCAACTATATGCTGCAGGAGGAGCTCAATGGCAGCGGCACGCCTCCATCCGTTACCAAGTACTCGCTGCTGCAGTTCGCCATGCAGCACTTCCGCAACGAGTAAGAGCAGCCATTTTTGATTATCATATTATTTATTAATAGCAAAACATGTTTTTTTTTTTTTTTTTCTTAAAAACAACTCTATCCACCATAGAAAGTAATAATAACGTAATAACGGTGCGCATAGATAACGGCTTAATTGTCGTGCTCTCTTTTGATCCTTTTCGAGTCAAGGCAAAGCACATGCACTGTCTCTGTCGTGCGTGCAGCGCTGCGTATTTGGCTATTTCTGCACGCGTTCATTACCGTTACAATACAATCTTCCATGCTTAAAATTGCATTTCAAAGTCAAATTCAAATGCAAAGACGCAAATCCATTTACGATTGAAAACAATAACAACAAAGCAACAAAGCAACAAAAAGCAATTGCAAAGCAACAACAACTGCGTGCATAGATAACGGTGTCGCTTGCGTCCCCTCTTTTGATCCTCTTATTCCGAGGCAAGGCACATAGCCTGCAAAGAAACGAGACAGATAGTGCAGCTGTTTTGTTGCTCGCCAGCAGCTAGAAAAATTGCTTAAGACATGTCGAAGCACAGATACCCTTTCTGTCGCTTGTCGATATGTGTATGCATGTATGTAATGTGTGCTGGAAATTAAGTTTGTTGTTGTACTCGTATCATGAGCTGTTGATTCAATGTCTAATTAGCTTTTCTTTACACATTACATGAATACTATTCAGACAATTGTCTGTTGTAGTCCAATTGAGTGACTAAGTTAAAGCAGCCTCTTTTTGAGAAAGGGTACTCTAATGGCTGCTTGTGCATTGAAACTGCAAGCCAAAACAGACGCGTAAGGAGTCTCAGCAAATGGCTGTTGCGTTTGCAAAGATGGCAAACATGAAGTAATTGGATTAATGGCAACAACAACTGCTATGAAGAAGACATAGAAGTGCCGTTAGAGTAGATTAAGCTGCAGCAGTATAGGCGAATAGCTGCTATGCTTGCAAAGATGGCGGGGCATGAAGTAGTTATAGCTTCTAGTCGAAACTCCATTTTGAATGATGTGAACCAATTACTTATGTCGCCTGCTCTCTCTTTCTCTCCCTCTCTCTCCACAGTCAATTACGCGATGCCGATCGCCATCATGAGCGTCACCAATCGTCGTCGGCTGCGAACCGCTCCTATGCGGAGCTGGTCAAGTGGCAAGGCCACGCCATACGCCTGCCCCTGCTGCGCCTGCCCAACGACCTGGCGCCACTGGCGCTGGAGTGTTTCGATTGCATATTGCGCTACTGCGGCGACATACCGCTCGATCCAGAGCTCACCGAGGTGAAGTGTGTCTACACCGTGTTGATGGTAGGCCAGTTGAGCTGAGACCTAGCGCTGCAGATTTATTAATCCCCTTCTGCTTTCAGCACTGTCACAAGTACTTGGCACTGCGGGACGAGGTCTACTGCCAGCTGATGAAGCAGACGACAGCGAATCGCTCGCCCTGCCCGGACAGCTCGCAGCGCGCGTGGCGCTTGCTGAGCATCTTGGCCGCCTACTTTGGCTGCTCGGACGCACTGCGTCCCTATCTGATGGAGCACTTGACATCCGCTGCCTCCGATCGGCGTCGCTCGTGCCATGGCACCGCCGCCGTCTGCCTAACCAATCTGCGCAAAACGGCTCGCTGTGGCGGTCGCAAGAATGTGCCCAGCGTGGAGGAGGTGACAGCTGTCTCGGCCGGCCGCTCGGCGCGCAGACAGATCTACCGCCTGCCCGGAGGTGCTGAGCGTGTGGTTAACACCCGCTGCTCCACCGTGGTGGCTGATGTCATTGCCGAGCTGTGCGCTCTGCTGGGCGTTGAGTCGGAGGCCGAGCAGCAGGAGTTTTCCCTCTACTGCATCGTGCAAGGCGACGCCTTCACCATGCCCCTGGCCGCCGACGAGTACATCCTGGACGTGACGACCGAGCTGCTAAAGTCCGGTCAGCCCTTCTATTTGATATTCTGTCGCAGCGTCTGGCACTTCGCCCTGAAGCGCGAGCCGGCGCCAATGCCGCTCTATGTGGAGGTGCTCTTCAACCAGGTGGCGCCCGACTATCTGGAGGGTCTGCTGCTCGAGCTGCCCGGCAACGGGGTGCCGATGCCGGAGATGGTGCGCGACATGGCGCGCATCGCTGCGTTGCTCCACCGCGCCGCCGACCTGAGCCATGTGCCAGCCATGAAAGAGATCAAGTTTCTGTTGCCCAAGCCAGCGTTGGGCATACGTGAGATTCGTCCGGCCCAGTGGGTCGGACTGGTGCAGTCCGCCTGGCCGCAAGTGGCCAATCTCAGCCCGGGGCAGGTGAAGGCCCAGTTTCTGAACGTGCTCGCCACCTGGCCGCTGTTCGGCAGCAGTTTCTTTGCGGTGAAACGCATCTGGGCCGAGGAGGCGGGGCCCCATGTCGAGGACAACCACAGCCCCATGTGGCGAGATCTGATATTGGCCTTGAATAGACGCGGAGTGCTATTCTTGGATCCAAACACACACGAGACCCTGCAGCACTGGAGCTTCATGGAGGTCATATCGACGCGCAAGGTAAACATTTCATGGAATATTTTATGATTATTATCGAGTTTATCTGTTGTAGGCATTTTGATTTGTGTTATCGATACGTGATATCGATCAATGCACTCATTTGTTATCTACCAATAGATCTATCTATCTCTCTATAGGTAGATCGATCTACAGATCAATCTGTCCGTCTGTCTTTTGATAGCTCTCTATCTCTATCAATAGTTCCATGTCTATCTATCTATCTATCACTATGTCAATGTATAAATCAATCTGTCGAGCTATCCATATGTCCACATATCTATATGGTAATCTATGCTCTCAATCTGTTCTGTGCATCCAGCAGATGTATTCTCTATCCGTCGATTGATCTATTCATACATCTATTATTATCATACACTCAACTCTCTCACTTTCTCTCTGTCCACTTCAGGTTCGCTCAGAGGATGGCGCCCTCTTTCTGGATATGAAGGTTGGCAATTTGATGCAGCAGCGTGTTATACGGGTGCAAACGGAGCAGGCGCACGAGATCTCTCGGCTGGTGCGTCAATATATAACCATGGCACAGATCAGTCAGCGCGACAAGCGGGAGCTCAACTAGAACGCAACGAATATTACGATTATATATGTATATGTATGCAGATATACATCAATATATATCTATATATATCTTGATTATTATTAAAGTAAAGTCCACAATTTTTTTTTTATCATTGTTAAGTATGGCTTACGCCTATACCCATACCTAAATCTATACCTATACTTACATCTATTTCTATGCATATATATAATATATGGGAGCAGGATCTATCCTAGCCATATTCCATTATCCGTTTCCCCGCATATCTAACGATTTGTGTCCTAATCTTAAGCAACAATGTGCAATCGCAATTCAAGTATTTTGCCTCCTCTTCCTGCTGTTTCCCCCTACTTTTCGTATTTCCAGCACAATTTTTTCAATTGCTAAAATTAAGAATCTAAAATATATATAAAAATATTAAATTAAATATATATAAATCGATTTTTTTTTTTGACAATTTGTTAAGCGAAATTCATTGTTTAGATTAATAAATGAAATTCTATACAAACCATATATCATACATATCCAAAGATCTTTTATTTATTTCGGATTTACACTGGCGCTATGTATATATACCCTGCATAAATGGGGCAGAAGGGTATCTTCGGGATGAGTGAAGTTCAAGCCAGCACATCTATCTATACCCTATATCTATAGCTATAGCCGACTATATTTAATCTATTTGGATCCAGTTAATCGAAGTGTCTGCAGTTTAATTATTTTCTAAATATTGCTCTGGCATTTAATTGTAAAATAAATAATTTATTAGCTAAGCACATACAATATACGTAATATACATATACATATATAAACCTATATATGCATCTATGATAAAAAAAGAAGCATTTTCCTCAAATAATATTTGGTATAATTTGATCGTTGTCGTCGTCCTCATCATAATCGCCATCGTCCTCATCCTCGTCCTCGTCCTCCTCGTCCTCATCATCATCATCGTCATCCTCTTCATCGTCCTCCTGCGCTGTCGCCGCCTGCTGCTGCTGCTTGTGTGCGCTGAACTGTGACCCACTTGTTGCGTTGTTGCCAGCTTCCTTTACTGTCATAGTTGCTGTCGTCGTTGCTGTCGCCGTTGCTGATGCCGCTGTTGTTGCTGTTGTTGCTGTTGCTGCTGTTGTTGTAGGTGCGGGACGCCTCGTTGTTGTCGCCTCATCAGCAGCTGCATGGCCATAGCTTAACGCTTCATTAGACGCATTGTGGTTGGCAACACGTGTGCCCAGCCCCATTGTCGTTGTCGTTGTTCCGGCTGTTGTTGCTGCGGTCTCGTTTAATCCAGTGTCTGGCAACATTGTTGTGCTCCTCGTTGTCGTGGGTTTGCCTGCTGTTGTTGCCGTTGGCTGCTCTAGTTTGCTGCCATCATCAGGCACAGCTGTGGCCAGCTCCAGCTCCACGTCGAGCTGGGTGGACGGCGGTGTAATGCGCGGCGGGGCCACCGAGGTCAACAGAAACTCATCGAGTATCTCGCAGTTCTTGCCCAGATAGCCCTGCCGGCACTGGCACCGATAGCTGCCGTCCTCGCGGCTCAGCGATATGCACTTGCCGTCATTTTCGCAGGTGTTCGGATTGTCCAGGCAGTAGGTCAACTCTGCAGCACAAGAAGGTCAGTTACTAATATGCCGTACTTATGGAATATGAATGGTATTTACTCTCGTCGCAGAGCATGCCGCCCCAGCCGGGACGACAGTTGCATTCCCAGGGTGCATCACAGTCGCCGTTCACGCAGCCAGGATACGGGAAACACTTGTCGCACTGCGCGCCAGTCCAGCCCACCTTGCAGCTGGATAAAGAAAGTTAAGTCACTTTGTGATAGAAGTAGACATAGAAATAAGTATGGCGGCCAAGACGCCATCTTTGCCAGCACACTCAACATGCAAATTGCCCCAGCCAATTGCATTGCTCAAACGTCTTCTTCTTTCCGATTGCGGTTTCAGTGACAGGCAGCCATGAGCAATGGTCTATTAATAGACATGCAGCTGCTGAGGGAGAGTAGTTGCACTATCTGTCTCTCTCTTTTGCATGTGGGCTGCTATGACTCGAGGAGGATCAAAAGGAGAATGAAATCACATCCGTTATCTACTCGGCGCCATTCGAAGTTCGTTGAATTGCGAATGAATTCAATTCGCTAATGGCGCCGAATGGATAACGGCTCTATTTATGATTTCATATTTCTGATCTATGCATTTATGCATAATTTCATTTACCAATTCACCTGTATGAAATTCACTCCGAATCGACTCCGAATTAAGGCGAATTCAACTTACCGACACTCTCCAGGCTTGCGGCAGTAGCCGTGCTGCTTGTTGCAGTCCGAGGCGCACAACGCTGCAAGATGGCAAGAGAGAGAGAGAGAGAGAGAGAGAGAGAGAGACGTTGAGCATCTTGAGAAGAGTCGATGTTGCCTCCCACTCACCTGTCTGGCAGAGCAGGCCCGTGTAGCCGGGCTCGCAGTTGCACTCGAGCGGCTTGTTGCAGGTGCCGTGCTGGCAGCCGGGCATTGTGGCACACTCGCTGCAGGTGCGACCTCCCCAGCCGATGCGGCAGCGGCACTCGCCGGGCGCCTCGCAGTAGCCGCGCGTGCTGTGGCAGCCGCTGCGGCAGCTGGCTGCAAGTGAGAGGACGTATTAGAGTAATGGATCTACCAATCTGGTAGCTCGAGCAGCGGGACTCACGCTCTGTGCAGAAGAGTCCATCCCAGCCGGGCTTGCAGATGCACTCGAAGGGCTTCTTGCAGGTGCCGTGCTGGCAGCCGGGCAGCGGGATGCACTTGTCGCAGTGCTCGCCGGTGTAGCCGATGCGGCAGCGGCACTCGCCCGGTCGCTGGCAGTAGCCTGTGGAGCGAACAGGTTTTGAGATCGAGTTGACTCTCTCCGGGGGGTCGCTCACTTACCATTCATCGGATCACAGCCGCGCCGACACATCGGCACCTGGCAGAGATCGCCCTGCCAGCCGGGCAGGCACTTCACGTCCCCCTTCTCGTCGCAGCTGTAGTGCGAGTTCATCTGGTACTTGGGCGACTTCTCGCAGGCCTGTGCCAATGGATCAGCTGCTTTAGATAGTTGACTGACTGGGCGCCTTGGCTCTACTTACGCGTTGCTTCCACAGCGGAATGTTCGAGTTGACGCTCGTCTGGCGCGCATCAAAGTTACGCCTCAGCGCCTCCCCTCCACCCATGCTGTTCGCCACCAGCAGCAGCAGCAGCGCCAGCGGCGATCCCTCCGACTCGGGCATTTGTGTCTGGCTGTGATCAGTCCTAATTGCGGTCATTCGGAAATATCTGGCGCTGAACTCTTCTCATATGCGAATCTTCTTTGCACCGAATATCTGTGAATCGTTCCCCTATTTATCAGAATTGACTGCAATTGGATGAAGCTAAATTTAATTTGAAATTCCTTCTGACTCCGAAACCTGACTTATTTTCCCACTTGAGTCCTAAATGCTTGTTTCATTTGAATTCACTCAACGGTAACTATTCAATTTCACTAACGTCTCAACGTTTGAATGGATTGTAAGCTGCATTTTTTCCCGAACCTTCTTTCCACTTAGTTTGTGCTCATTCCGAAATATAATAATTCCGAATTCACTTTCAGAAATTTGATTTACTGCAAATCTAATTCGAACTTGCTCCGAATGCCTATCGAATGAACTTTTGAAATAATTTGCAGTTACTTTTTGATTTGTTGAAGAATATCTGTAAATTATATATATATAGCTAGAGCAGCATATATCTCAGTTCATTTCCAAGCGACACCTGAACGGCATTTTCTCTTCGATCTGACTTGAGCTCTATCTTTAGTTGCGCTAAGAACAAGCCAAGTTCGTTTCATTTAGATGAACGAAAAAGAAATCCCGCTCGAGTTGCACAGAGTCAACTGCTATAAACAGTTGTCGCACCAAAGACAATTAACATGTTCCAAAACAACTTTCTTCGTAGCCAACAACCACAACAACAATAAGAACAGTTAGGTCTAAAGACGGAGCCCTGACAGACAGACTGACTGATGGCTTGACTCGATGAATCATTGCAATACGCACCACACAATATCTATATATATATATGTATGTATATATATTTAGAGCTAACGGTAATGAGTTCCTTATCCGAATCTTAATACAAATTGCCTTCCACGTCCGTCTTGGCTTGCGTCTGCTTAGCTACTAATCAATTTCAGCTTTGACTTTGACTAGTCCGAACTTGAAAGCTTCAAATTACTCTCTCTCTCTCTCTCTCTCTCTTTCTCTCTCTTGATGTCGTTCTTTGTCTCTCTCCCTCTCTGCTTTGGGAGAAATTTGAAAAACCGGCAACTGGCATTTACTGACAGCTCACTCACCTCTCTGCGCACCTGCGCAATTGGGTCAAACGGTAACGATCCAAAATCAGCTGTGCGTTGCCACGCCCCACGCAAGAAATGCTGCCGACCAGCCCCCCGAAAGCAGTCAAACAAATTAGTTTGTTCCTCTGTCTCGGCCCCAGTTGCTGATTTAAGTTTGCTTTGTTTTCGTTTTTGTTTTTTAAAATAATTTTTTTGTTCTTTTTATTGTGAATGCGCAATTTTATCATTATTATTTTCATGTATATATATTTTCATATATATATATATTATTAGAATATTAATTTTCAAATTTGTATTTATTTCTTGTTCTCTTTCGTATGTGCCTTAATATTTATTTTATTAAGTTGTATTTTTATTATTATTATATTCTTTTTTTCAAATTCTCTTAATTTTTTAAGGGGGTTTGTTCTTTTTGATATATATCTCTCTATGTGTGTGTTGGTGTATGGGTGTTAGTGTGCCAATAGAATATATTTGAGACCGCTGCAAACACTTGAACTTAGAATTGCTCCGAAGGGAACGTAGATAACTTTATCTCACGTCTACTATTAAGGGATCTGATTAAGTGAAATAGAGTTTGAATATGACTCTGAATCTGAGCCTATATAGCAACATATACAGCTATACAGCTATGTCGAGTCCAACAGATGTTTGCAGCACTTCAAATTGATATTCTCAGCTTTGTAGGCTAGTGTAAGTGTAGGTGTTGTAGGTTAATGGTTAGGCATGATAAACTCGTACATCGATGAGGGTTGAAGTATTATTATGTAATACATATATATTGGTTTTTGTATATATGTATGTATGTCTAGTCCGACTGGTCACATACACTACACTATTTCACTTTTATAACTGCATGTAATTCGTATTATTGGGATGTTTTTATAGCGCTTACGTCTAGCTGGAAGTGGAGTTTGGGGATTTCGAGAAAACGTTGAGTTTGGACAAGCTCTAATTGCGCTGTCAAGATTTTGTTTTTGTTTTTTTTTTCTTCAAATTTGATTCATAATGCATTCAGCAGAGCATAGTGGACAGCGTGACTCAAATCCTGGTTGAATTTTTTTTCCTCCTTTGATCAATCGAAGTTTGGATTCGAATTGCGCAGTTTGCCCTTCATAGATACAGCTACATATGTATCGGTAGATCATGGGACTTGGTTGCTAATATAATTATATTTAATGGTATATATCGTATTATTAGTTAGTTATATCTCTCGTTCTGGGCTAAGACTTATCGATCAGTTGTTATTCATTTGCCGCTGAGCTTTTCCAGACACCAGAGTCTGAGTAAATGATCTATTTACAACTTGGGCTACAGTAGGAGCTCGCCGGGATGAACGTTTCATCTACAGCGGGTTTCTACTGTACTCTCACGCTTTATAGCCTTGCAGGCGTTTCCTTTTAAGTTAGGGACATAACTGTGATTCCGATCAGACAATTGTAGTGGAACTAAAACTGCGCTATTAACTCGTTAGAGTAGTTTACTGCAAGGGTATTTAAATTCGGCATTCCGAAAATCTCGTTTTTTTCGCTTTCTATATATTAATTGTTCAGCTATCGATTATGCATGATCTATTGAAAGAGAGAAAGATATGGGGAGAGCGGGGCATGGGGAGACTCAAAAAAATACACATTCACTGTATGTAAATTCTTAATTAACTGTCTTAAAGTTTAAACACTTATATGCGAGTTCTTCTCTCATTGTGTGCGTGTGAGTGAGGGACGGGGTGGGGCAGGGTGCTGAGTGCTGTGGACAGCTGCCGTGCGATATGATGCTTGGATATGATATGAATACAAAGAAACGAGACAAACAGTGCATTTGGTTTGTTACTCATTCATTCTCTGTCGTGCGTACAGCCACTGTAAGGAATCGTCCCATTGGGTATGGGTATGCGGGCAATGCAGCTAAATTCTAAACTGCCGTTACTTCAGTTGCCTTTGCAGTCGAACGCTTAACGCCATTGGTCATAGCAAACAAGAACAACAAATGCGCAACAGTGCGCAAAGATAACGGCTCTTTTCTATGCCTTCGCTTTGATCGTCGTCGAGTCATGGCAAACGCCATTTAAGGAAAAGAGACAGATAGTGCAAATGTGTTGTTGCTTGCTCTGTGCTCCAGCGACAGCAGGTAGATTGCTTGCCGAAGCACAGATACCCTTTTATTTATCGTTATTGTGTTGAAACGGCTCATTAAGTAGTTTTGCAATTGTGCAAGAATTACATTTAGTAAATAGTTTTATATGAAATATGGTTGACTTGGATTAAATATGGCTTTGGACTGACTTCATGAGGAAGTCTACTCCAATAGGCGCTGGCCAACTGATGGTGTGATCGGAGAGAAGGAGAGAGCAACAGCAAGCAGAGGAGTGAAGAATTATTGGCTGAATTTGCCGTGAGCCGTTATTTATGTATGGCTGTTACCCAATGGGAACTGGATAGATAGGTTTGGGCTCTGGGATGGGTTTTCGGGTTTGATGAACTCGCTACATAGACTACGCGTATACCCTACACATATATATTGACGTCCTCGATCAGATCAAAAAAAAAAAAGTTAATATTTATCCAATTATTGCATTGGATGGCTGCGAATACTGCTCCTGCTGCAGCAGCTGCTTAGACGAATATGAATTGCGCATGGTTGCATTTCTTGGGTGGGCCGATGGTCAGGCGCAGCCACTTGCCGCGACATGACGGCGCCGGCAACGCGCTCCAACGCGTCGTGCGACCCGACAGCCCCTCGCCGCGGCAGTGATAGTTGAGCAGCAACTGTTGCTGTTGTGGCTGCAGCGCCGGCGGCAACATGGGCGCCGCAGCATTGGCGCTGCGCTTGGACGTTGCAGCGCGTGGATGGTGCGATGATGGCCTCTGGTGCTTGTAGCCATAGCTCTCGCGGCTGGCCGCCTCCGCTTCCGTTTCCGCTTCCGCATCGCCATCCGCTTCGGAGTCGAGCATATTTTGTGCATCATCCTCCTCGGTGTCCTCCTCCTCCTCCTCCTGCTCCTGCTCCTGCTCGTCCTCGTTATCATCGTCATTGTCATTGCTGTTGCTGCTGCTGCTGTTCTCCTCGCCCTCCTCTGTTAGATATGGCTGTGCCATTAGAGTCTTATGCGTTGTAGTTGTTGTTGTTGTTGCGCCTCTGTTGCCCGCCTTCCCAACACCAGCCTCAGCATCTTTGTCCTGCACCAGCGCCTCGAGGTCACAGCGCACAGTTATGCGATCACCTGCAGCAGCACATTGTCCATAAGGCGTACAAGGCATATCTAGTGAATCACTTACCCTCCAGCATCAGGTTATAGGGCGGCAGCTTGTGGCAGGCTTTAGATGCCTTGATGACCTCGAACTCCACGCAGTATCTGCAAGATTGATTGACTATTAATATGGATAGACTCTGAGCAGGTTCAGCTTATATAAAGTTATTCTTTTTTTGCGGAATCCTTCACAATGTCTATCAAATGCCATTTAATCATATTCTGTTCATGCCTTTGTGCCCGTTAATAGGCAAAAACCCGATTACGTTTAATTTAAAACATTTTCCATTTGAATTTTTCAATTGATTTTCGATTGACAGACAGACATTAGCTGTATTTAACATTACAATGAACTTTGACATGGGAATAATCAGCAAAGGCAGCGATAGGGAGGCTAAGAGAGAGAGAGAGAGAGAGAGAGGAGAGAGAGAGAGAGAGAGAGGGAGAGAAGAGCAGACAAAAGCACTTACACAATAATGATTATTGTGCAGTTGTGCGTGGCCGAAAAAAGTGAAAGAGTGAGAGAGAGAGAGAGCCATACAAGGAGTGAGCGCGACAGAGAGAGATAGGTTATACAGTTCAAAGGCGTCGCTATTCAACCGGAAATTCGAACTGTCTATTAAGCCTAACAATTTCCGTTTCCGTTACGCAAAAAACGCAGCGGCACAAAAACATAGGGATAGAGTGACAGAGAGAGGAGAGAGGAGAGAGAGATGGCGAGAAAAAGAGAGAGCAGGGAAGAGCCAACTGTCAAGTGGCTTTGGGTGTCTGTTTAAATGTGTGTATGTGTGCATAGTGTGTGTGTGTGTGTGTGTGTGTGTGTGTGTTTGACAGCTGTCAAGGTGTTGACATCGGAAATTGCGTCGGAAATTCAAATGTGCCCTCAAATGCCGCTGCTGCTGCTGCTCTCATGGGTTGGCGGCAAATCGGCTGGGCGGATATTTGTCCACTTAGCCTCGAGAGCTCAATTAGCAAATCGCCAAATTAGCCAGGCAGCCGAATTCACGATTGACGCCACGGAAATCAAAATCGCAAAATTGAGAAAAAGAGAAGCGATAAATGCAATGGCGATTGAACAGGTGGGCGAGTGCTTGCTGATGAATGGTTTTACATGGAGGTCAGACATGGAGACATGCAGGAGCCATTTAATGTATTTTTAGTTGAAGTGCGGCTGCATACCTCACATATTATATCTGCAGCCCTTGAGCTATAAGGCAAGTGCCTTACAGGTTGTTAAAGTTGATTTGTGTTGCTCGCATCGTACTTGAGCTAGGAATTCGGGCAGCCGGAAAAGGAAATTATGTTGGCCCTCACTTACATGAACAGCAGCTGCACTCCAACTTTGATAGCTTTAGCTCTCGAGGTACTCGAGATATGCTAAAATAGATGAGTGGCCTAGAGTGAGTTACTAAACCAAAGCAGGAACTACTCTAGATCTATGAGCAACCTTAGGGATGTATGGGACCTTAAGCTCTTGCTGCCTGTAGCATATGCAGCCGCGTAGCCAATCTACCCAATGTTCAAATGTCACGGGGTACACAAAACAAACGAAAAGCAATTGAAATCAAACCCAAAGCAAATGCCGCTCTGATAGAAATATAATTCATGCCGACGTCGGCTCTACTGGAGCTGAGCACTTAATTAACTTGGCCCACAGCTAGGCGACGCAATGTCCTGCGCGTCCTGCCGCCCGCCCGCCCTCGGTCCCCAGCCAGCTGGCCATAAAGGTAAATTGAAAAAACCGAAAAGAAGAAAAAACAAAAACAAAAACACGTAAGAAAATGCATGTAAATAAAAACTCTACGGCAGCAAACGCCGGCGTCGCCGTCGTCGTCGTCGTCGCCGCACAGAAGCAATAAAAATAAACAAGGCAATGGCACAGGACTCTTCAGCAGCAGAACATAATTAAACTCAAGTGGCAAGGGGCTCACGCTGACAGCGGGCGGGACGGGGCGGTACGGGGCGGGGCGGTTCGCGCAGCACATTGAGTGGTCGAAGCTGAGAATAAGACATAAAAAGACTTTTCCGGACTTGAACTTGATGAATACATTTTTTAGGCAATTTCTTAAGGAAATTAAAAACAAAATAAAATAAATTATGTATGTGTATATATATACGTATATATGTCATATTAGAGGCCCATAAATAACAGTTGCTATAATTATAATGTGACGAAAGGGCAGGCGACAGAGAGAGTGAGAGAGAGAGAACGATTTGCATAGGCCAGAGGTTTGACGGGTGTAGCAGGAGAGGGGAGCAAACTCTTACAGGCAAGTCTTGCCTTATAAACAAGGTTACTTAGTTCAGGTTTCACTTGCAAACTGTCTTAAGCGAATCGCTTGACAATTTAGGTATAGAACGAACACCGTTCGTTTAACATATCTTTCATATGACAGTTCCACATATACAGGGTATGTAGCGTTGTTCATGTTCCACGAAGTGATCTGGCAACCCTATATCTTTTGAGCAGTTGCCAGACATGGTTATGCTTCAAATCAGAGTTATTCAAAGTAAGTCGAGCAACAAGTTGAGAAAGTGCCAAATCGAAGGGTGAATGTATGAGTGTGAGGCAGCGACTCCTGTGTGTGTGTGTGTGTGTGTGTTTAGCCAAGGCAAATGTCGACACTCTGGCAATTGGCTGCGGCTGCGGCGGCGCTGGGGAAAAAGTCATTTTCTTGTCAAATATTTTGCCACTTCAAAGGACTCGGCGACAACTGTCAATGCCAGGCGAGCAGCAGCAGTGAGTGTGGCACAGGCACTTAAAAAAGTATTTGCACTCGTTTATGTGAAAGCCAAGCACAAACAAATAAAATAAAAAACAATTTCGACAGCGCGGGGCGGGCATGAACGACTGTCGGATATCTTAGCCTTTGCTCTCATCTCTTCTGCTGCTCACTGCAAACTAATATACCCCATTTGCTCGCCTGCTCTGGGCCTGGCTCTACTCCAGCTGCTAAAAATAATTGCTTGACTAAGTTGGCTCACAGCTTGCGGTGCTTCCCACTTCTGTTGACCTCTTCTCTCTCTCTTTCTCTCTCTCTCTGTTTCTCTCTTTCTGTTGTGCTTCCTGCAGCCGCACACAAAAACCGGAAACGAAAAACGACGCGGCGACATCTCAATTTGGATTTTAGTCAATGGCGGCGCAACAGGCAACAGGCAACAGCAATGTGCAGCGCAGCCCTGGGACTCAACTGGACCCTCGAGTCCTGGCCGAGTCCTGGCCGGGGACTTGGCGCTGGACTCGTGTCCTGGCAAAGGAAACACTCTGCGGCGCTTGAGTGAGCCGCCTGAATGGCCACATGCAGATGGAGGCGCAGGCGGAGGCAAAGACTTTGCTGGACTTTGCTTTCGCTTAGCTGCCTTCCTGTGTGTCCTTTGGCCTGACCGCCCGCCCGCCCGCCTGGCTGCTCTTGCTTCTTCTTGTGCTTCAGCGTCATCGTCTTCTTCTTCTTCTTCTTCTTGTGCTTTGTCGTCGCTGGGAAGTTTTTAATGATGATTGAGCAGCGCGCGCAAATCTTGTTGCACACTTTCAAGCGACTGAGCACTGCAAACGGCTCGGCCTGCAGCTGCCCTCAGTCGACTTGCCCTCTCCCTCTCGCTCTCTCTCGCCCCCTCACCCGGACCAGTCAGTTCAATGTCCTTTCGCTTGGCTTGGCAAATAAAATATGCATGCATACAAACATATTTCTTTATGTATATATGCATATATGTATGTACGATAATTGATATTGACAATGTTTAGCCGGCAGCTCAGGCTGGCAGCTAAAATTAGAACTGCAAATGGAGCGCGGGCTGGGGCTACAACGGGGCGTATGAATGGCAATTTCTTTGAATTGCTGCCTATAAAGGATGTGCCATATCTCAGATATAGCAGAGAGAGAGATGTAGATATGCAGAGAGTAAATATTTTGCTTCGCATTTAGACTCGCAAGAGCAGAACGATTCGAGTGCAGAAGCAAGAGAAGCAGTCAGACTTGAATTTATTAGCCCAGGCATCGCACAGTTCAGCCTAGGCTGTAGCTTCAGATTGAGCCATAAAGCGTGTGCAGAGTACGAAGCGCGACTTCTGCTGCTGTGGCTGCTGCTGAGGACTAGACACAAGTGACGTCACCAGGGCCTCGGGCCTAGGCAGCTCTCTGAGTGTGCTGAGAGTGCGAGTCTCAGACCTTACTAACTGAGCTTGAACTGAACTGAACCTTTAGAACCCTTTGGAGAATGCGACTGGAGGAGAGTCGGTTTTACTCACTGTGGAATGTGTTTTGAATACGCAGCAAACAATTGAATCGAACTTGTTTCGGCTTTTTTATACCCTAAACCCATTGCAAATGGGAAATCAGGGTATATTGGTTTTGTGAAAAGTATGTAACAGGCAGAAGGAATCATCGCAGACCCCATAAAGTATATATATTCGTGATCAGGGCGACGAGCTGAATCGATATAGCCCTGTACGTCCGTCCGTCCGTTCGTATGAATGCGTCAGAGAAATTATTCAATTAATAAATTCTCAAAATTTTGCCCAAGCGCTGTCGCTGCTAACTGCGCAGTCAGCAGAGCGTGTGGATGCGTGTGTATGCATGTGTGCATAGAAGGAGTGCAGAATGAGTGGAATATAAGCTTGGATGGCTCAGGATATCTCCTAGTCTCGACTGGAGCCTCCTCACTTGTTTTATTTTAAAGCAGCTCAATTTCTTGACTTTGCTATTCGTGCACACGGCTTACACACATACATTTGCATTGTGCACAATATCTGATTATACTCCATATACACAGCTACATCATTTGTATTCTCATAAATTTAATTTAGTCGACTGCATTAGAAAGTAATTAGAAAGCTGATGCTTATCCATTTCGTGTGGCCTCTAAAACGCATTAAGTTGCGTTTACTCTAACTCTAGCACAGCACAAGTATCCTCCCTCTCTCTCCCACTCCCCCTCTCTCTCTCTCTCACTCACTTTATCTCTGTGTGCTGTGCCTTGTCCTTCGCATTAAGTGCATAATTCAATTTGAAAGGCAGACTTTGGAGTGCCCCTTGAAAAGTATGCAAAAGCACAGGCACAGGCACAGGCAGAGGCACGCCACCCACCCACTCACACACACACACACACACATACACAGAGAGACACACTCACCCACACACACAGATCAACTGGGCATAAAACGTGGGCAGCTGCGTTTGTTTAATGAAAATAAAGTAGCAGCTTTTACGCATTTTTATGGCTTTTATTCAACTGTTTGGGGGCGTGGACGCACCTGCTATGCAAATTAGCCTATACAAATATACAAATATACAAATATCTGTATTTGTACATATATATGTATGTGCAGTGTATGTATGTGTGTGTGTGTGTGTGTATCATAAAATCTGTCAATTCGCAGCATCATTGTCTTCAATTTCCAGCTGACTTAAGGACTGGCAATCAACTTGTCTCCCTCCACCCCCCCCCTCTACCAGAATCTATCCTATTCTCTCGCTCTCTCTTTCTCTCTTTCTGTGCCTCAGTCATTCGCTGTGCGCCTGCAAATTTATGCGGTTCAGGCTAATCCTCATGGGGATTTTTCGCTTAAAACGTTTTATTGTTGCCGCGCACCCAAAACCAGGTGAAGCTGCAGAGAGTATTTAATGGAGCTGGGTGGAGCGGTATGGGCACTGAGACGGAACTGGAACTGCCAGGGAACTGCCAGGGAACTTGAACAGCAGCTGGCACTGCAACAGTAATTATGATAGAAACCACAACTGGAGCTAGCTCTGGAGCTGGTGCTGTGAGTTTAAGGTGATCTGGAATAGAAAGTGGAATTAAAATTGGAACTGGAGCGAGAGCTGCAGTCGTAAATTACAGCTACGTATATGCGTATAAGAAGTTAGCATTATAATATCATTATAAGTACACTGAGTACTAAGGGACACCTAGAAATGGAAATGAAAATGGACTACGAACTGGTTCTGTGATTATGTCTATAAAAGGACGATTCACCAGGAAAAGTTCCAGTGCCAGTGCCAGTTCCAGTTCCTGTTCCTGTTTCAGCTCCGACTCCAAATTCAATTTCAGTTTTAGTCCTAGGCACTAACTGAAACTGAAATTGATTTTGGAGTCAGAGCTGGAACAGGAACTGGAGCTTGAGCTGGAACTAGTACTGTGACTTTAACGACAACGAGAATGGAAACTGCAGCTTTAGCTGGATCTGGAAATGCAGACATCTTTTATTTATTTTAAAGTAGATCTGAAGTCGCTGCGCTGCTAGTCCTGCCTCCTTCTGGTCATTGCTAGCTCCGACTGTGGCTGTAACGGTAACTCTGGCTGTAATGGTAATTGGAACTGGTCTGGAACGGAGATGGGCCACCCGAGAAGGGGACGGTGCCCGGGCGGACCCTGTCTGTTTCTATTATATATTTTAAAAGGCCTGTCGACTGCAGATTTCCCTGATGTCCTGTAAATTTATCACATTACAAAAAACAGAAAACAAAGTGTGAATTCGTCGCGGGGGTGTTCACCCAATGGCTGGGGAGGGGGCGTGGCCCTAAAGGTTCATATTCCTGGCGGCCCGCAGCACTGGGTGCGTGTGTATTACCGTTTCGTTCCTTTGTAATTTCTTTTTGCGGCAATCGCTTCGCACTGTCATTATGTAAATGAAATTGTGGCGAATTATTATTTGTATACCCTACGCAGAGCGAGCAACAGCCAGAGGGTCTGCTGCAATCGTGAGGGAGTATGTGACACGATGTGGAAGACCACCGCTTCGATTGGAATGCTTGGAACTGGGTTGGGAGTATGACCAACCTGTATATACCCTCACCAAATATATACTACTCTGACTCTGACTATGACTATGAAAGACTTCTCATTCGTTTTCTTTTTTTGCCAGACTTCCTTGCACTTTCTACTGCAGTCATTGAGTGAGTTAAGTCTGAAGCTTCTCTCCTCTTTCTCTACTCCCCTTGTAGAGCTGCTTTACTTGGGAGAGCATCTCACATAGAGCATTTGTTTTTCGGCTTTTGCCTGCGCCAAAAACTTTCTGCTTGTTATTTTTGGCTCCTTCTCGTTTCTTTTCGCTTCTTCTTCTTCTTCGGTTTTTATTTTGTTTTTCTGTTTTGTTATTTGCGTAATTTATTTATTTATTTTCTTTGTCCAAGTTCCATTGCTGTTGCTGTTGTTGCTGCTCAGCATTTGAGCGCATAATTCATAATTTGTGCCCGTTCGTCCTTTGTCCTTTGTCCTCGGTCCGTAGTCCTTTTGTGGAGCAACAGCAGCTCCTTCTATCAGCAGCGAGGCAATAAAAGTTTGTCGCTAGTTAACAAATCATTGGACAAGTGAATTGGGCAACTTACCAAAGAGAGAGAGAGAGAGAGAGGGAGAGAAAGAGAGAGGGAGCAAGGGATAGATAGAGAGAGAGAGAAGTAGCTTTTGATTCACTTTGAATTGATTTGTGTGTGCGCGCGTGAATGAATACGATTTCGATTTCGATTTCAATTCCGATTTTTATCGTGGCGTGCAATAAATATTCATGAATTCCATTCACTCATTCATCATGCTCATGTGAAAGCTTTCGCCACTCGAGGCAAACAAAAAAAAAACGAAACGAATCAATTATCGAGCCAAATTGAATCATTTGAGCCGTGGAAATTGATTGATCGAATATGTAATTCGAATTGGAATGCGAGTTCGAATCGAGACTAGGTGGGAACAGCAAAACCTTGTCCTTGATGTGGATGCATGTGAAAGTCTAATCGATAACGATATCTATCGATAGCGAATAGCCTAGTTATCGACATGTTTAGCCGCACAGCTGGACTGTCCATGTGCTGCACCGTTTGGCACGTTTCATGAGCTCCTCTTGCGCTGCTGCTTTCTGTGGAAATAGATTCGAATTGAAAGCAAATGGAAAAGACATAAAAATAATAAATTGCGGATTTAATTTAATTTCGCAAACAAAAGTAAAGCGCAGCATAATAAACGGCTTTTGATGAGCAGCGAGAAGCACTCAAACATAAGAGAGGCGGACGATAAGAGCGCAGCACAAAATCGCAGACCGCAACAGGCAGCAACAGGCAGCAGCAGCCGCAGGAGCAGGAGCAGGAGTAGAACGGCTGAACATTGAACGGACAACGTGGCGTATGCGGAACGTGATTGATGTCTGTTTGCTTATTTGAAGTGGGCAGTGGGCAAGCCACGCCCCCTGGCCTTATCACATGCAGCATTGAACAGGAGACAGCAGAGAATAGAGAGGGAGAGAGATACAAACCAGAGTTCATAGTGAATGTTGAGGCGAACTCATTGACTTGCGTGCCATACCAATGTATAGGGTATCTTTGAGTTGTAACTGCCAGGAATACCCTGAGGTGCTTTCTAATAAGTATGTATGGAATGATGTAAGGCAAGTGAATGAATTGCAGATATGAAAAACATCAAGATATAGATTGATCAAATAGAGGGTATCTTTGAGTCGTGCATACCTTCATACTAAGCATACACATACTCCTGGAGCATCTGGAATGCGTAGTTGGATAGAATGTGTAAGAGAGATGGCGTTTGACTAATTTACAGGGTATCTTTGAGATGTGAATCTTTTCAACTTTAACTTGAGCTTCTTACCTAACTGTTGTGTAAACACTTGACAAAAGTTTTAGAGTTGAAAGCGAGGTAAGCTTGTTAAGTAGTAGCAGCAAATTACAGGGTATCTTTAAGCTGTAGCCAATGAGTGGAACAGAGAGAAAGCTGCATTGGGCTTTAACCAGTGTGGCTGGTCTACATTATAGGGTATCTCTGAGTCAGGCTTGCATCGAGGTCTGCAGCTCGTCTAGTGGACAATTGAGGAAGCCATCAAAGGCAGGGCCGGCGTCAAGGACTGCTGGGCAACCTGTCTGTGTGGCTGAATGGCATGAATCATAAACATTTCCATTTCCAACTCGAACAAGCAAATAGAATGAAGAGGAAGAAGGAAACGAGGTAACAGATGGTGGCAGCAGAGAAGGAGGAGGAGGAGGAGGAAAACAAAGCAAGGCAAATGCTCGTGAGGACGAAAATTAACAGCGCGTCAAATCAAGGCGGAGATTTTTATACCGAACAATTTTTATGCGCCTTTTATGATGGATTTTTATTGCAGACGCTTATGCTGATGCGCCCCCTCTCACTCGCCCGCCCTCCACCCATTACAAGATGAAATTGTTGTTTGCATGCCGCGCGAGTCATAAAAGAGCCGAACAGCTAGCAACAAATTTGGGATTAATACTGAAATTTCTCATTTTTTCTCCGCAGTTTTTCTCCCGTTAACCTAATGCCATAAAAGCGGCTTTGGAAAACGATTCGGCACACACCTTTCGCCTAGAATCGCGATTCCAAATTAAACAAAGTCAAGCGTGAAAGAAGGCTCCAAGTCGCGGAAAATCATTTCACGCTCGATACCTGAATTGAATTTTTAAGGTGCAGCAATTTATCTCCACGGCGACTGAGAGATCTTGAGAGTTGTGGCAGAGAAAAGCTAGCCAGTACAGACACAGTTGCAGCTACGAATACAGATGTGCATTCAGGTAGAAATATCTATATAAAAATATAGATGTGTATATGAATATGTTATGAATACTGCTCTCTTCAAGTTCCTGCTGACAAGAGCATATAGGGAGATTTAAGGATATGAAGATATGATATGATATGTGAAGGCACCAAGATATGCTGATATCAAGATATGAATAGTGGCCTCTAATTCTCTCCTCAAGTTCCTGCTGCCAAAAGCAGAAAATATATAGGGAGATGTAAAGATATAATGATATGAAAGATATGATCTGATATGCGAAGGCACCAAGAGCTAAGTGGCCCTCACTTTCCTCTTCTATCTCCGTCTATAAGGTGAGCTTCAATGTGTTTCGGAGTGCAACTCTCTTAAGTATCAGTATAGTCTACTCCCATATATAGCTTATTCCCATAGATAGCTTCTCTTCTCTGCGATACTCACTCATGATCCCGATTGTGTTTGTAGGAGTCGCGATAGCGCGAGTGCAGATTGTGGCGGCTGTCGCTGCTCTCGTTGGTGCGATGATTGCGCGTGAGTGCGGCGGGCAGGAGAAGAGCCATTTCTGGAAGAGAGAAGAGGAAGATAGTTATGAACAGTTAGGTAGAAGAGTCTGTAATATCAAGCACAAGTCAGTAAGGAATAATATGGATTGGCTTAGAATTAGTTCTTGGTAAATCATTATTGATGAAGAGGAAGTCAAAACCGTTATACTAGCCCACTCAGTACAGTAGTTAAGATTTAGGGGTAAATAGAGTCATAGAAAATAAAGAAAATGAAAATATGAAGTAGAGCTCAGAACGTGAAATCAAATTGTAGACGCGAAGGCGGGCGCGGCTCGAGGCGTGGCTGCAGCCGGAAGAGCTGGTTGTAACAGCAGCGAATGTATACGAGTGTGTGTGTGTGCTCTGCTGTGTGTCTGTGTGGGTGTGTGTGTGTGTGTGCGGAAGTGCGTGCCTGTATGCCTGGCGGTTATGCCACACGAATCGCATTTGCTTTGACTGGCTTCGCATGATGTTTGCATTGCTGAGAGCGAAATCAAAACATGCCATTAGACGAGCAACCGAAAAAAAGAAAACAGCAAAGGAAAAAGGAAAAGGAAAAGGGAAAGAGGAATGAGGCACGAGGAGCGAGGAAACAGCTAAGGAGGTGTGGCAGCCACAGCTGACAAGGACAACACAAGCGTGCTAGCAATTGCAAACAACAAAACAACCTTTGCCTTTTCCCTCCTCCCCTCTCCCCTCTCCCTTTCCCTTTTCCTTTCCCAATTCCAATGCTCAACGTGGGGCCCCCCATTGCGACTCAATATGCGACGCCCTCTTCCCCAATTCCGACTTTTGACTAGCAGAACTCGCATTGACAGACCGCCACGAGCCACATACTACTGTCACTGACACCCGCCTGGGGGAGGGGAGGGGGAGGTAGCGGAGGTAGTCGGAGCAGCGGGAGACATTCACCTGCGAAATGTAGACGGGGACATTGCTTTACTTGCAGCACGTGCCACAGCCACGCACAGCCACGTGACTCGTGAAAAGGTGTCTGCCAAAGCAGTAAAGAGAGAGGGGGAGGGGGGCGGGGGAGGTATGGCAGTGAGCAGCATCATCAGCCTTGGCCTGGTCTGCATGCATTGACTCCTCGCATGGACAGACCTGAATTGACAGGGTCCAGCTGCCTGGCTTTGAGTCAGTTGCAGCCTCGTGCCACGCCCCCTGCTTATGAGCGGGCGAGGTGCAAGGAGAGAGAGCTTATTAGGAGCAGGGAAAGTAAACAACAATGGGAGCACTCTTTGACTTGGCATCAGGTCTTAGGAATCTCTTTGACAGATGTGAAACGCAGTCAAGGCGCGCTACGGTATCAGATGTGGAGTTATGACTATAAGTCTATACCCTGTAAAGATTTCAAGTGGGTAACTTGAATGACGAACGTGAGAAAGGCGGGAGGAGAGTGGGAGAATGAGAAAGGGGATGACGATACAGAAGAAACGAGAGAGTAAGATTTATAACATGAAAACGATAAAGAGACGGGAAGAAGAGAGATAGAACGATCCAGACAGAGAGAGAGAGAGAGAGAGAGAGAGAGAGAGAGAGGAGAGAGAGACAGTGTGAACCCAACTGCAAAGACAGCTAAACATTATGTTGCAATAAAGTCAAGGTCATTAACAGACTTTGACCTCTGCGTTGCTGCAGGGCGTGTGAGAGAGAGATAGCATGAGTCTAGAGTAGAGCTAGATGAAGGCAAATTTAAAGGACTTGCACGTGCCACAGCAAATGGAATGTCAAGTCGACAAACGGCTGATGGTTCAAGCTTAAACTGTGCTTTATCAGTTAATGTGCGAATGTTAGAGGGAGAGAGAGTGGGAGGAAGAGAGAGAGAGAGAGAGAGAGAGCGGGTGTGCTAGCTTGCACATATGTATGTATTGCATAATTTTTGGTCGTCAGCAGGAGCACACACAACTTATGCAAATTTAACAAGTCAAGTGCCACACACATGCACACACACACACACACATACACACGCACACACACTCGCACGCATACATTTGCATAATCAAATGGCATATTGTTGTGCCTCGGTTTGGCTGGTTTTCGGCTACGTTTTTCATCTTGGACGATTACCTACTTGGCCAAGCACAACACACACACTTGCACAAGCACACACACACACACACACACACATCCGAATACACACACATACATGCAAGTTAATTGGAATTTAGCACATGGCCCGTAATTCACAGCCCTAAGTGAATGAGTATTCAACGTATGTATGTGCAGGTGTGTGAGTGTGTGCGTGTGTGTAGGTGTGCGTGTGTGTGTGTGTAAGCGAATGGATGTCTGCAAGTGTACAGCAATTATTTTTATAACGTTAATGAGCACTGCGCATTATTGTGGCCTGCCAATGGCGGCGACAACGAGAAACCCTGAAGAAGGCCGACGATGGCAGCGACGACAGTCGGCGACAAAAGTGAGCGCACACATATTAGCTGCACTGTGAGAAAACTCTGGTTACGTACTTAAGGCGAAAGTGAAGCAGTTGAATATGGGGAACTGCTTGCTGGCTTGATTGATTATTTAATGACTGACTGGATTGCCTGAGTAACATATGCATAAGGATGATTGAGCGATTGATTGATTGACTGACTGACGAGTGATTGATTAATTTGAATAAGTTTAGCCAATGCATCAAAACAGATTGACTGCCTAGTCGACTGATTGATAGACTGATAATTTAACGGTTAAGTGATTGAACGATGTAACGACTCCACTTGATTGAGAACCGCAAGCACAACTAACTCCAGAGCCACACAGCAGAAGCAGAAGCAGAAGCAGGAGGAGGAGGAGGAGGAGTGCAGAGCAGAGGAGTGGAGAGGTGAGACGCAGAGGGGCTGTAGAAACACGGGGCACGTTCGTGGTTGATTACCTGCACTGACTGATTGAATGCTCATTATAAATGTCTGATGGAATTCGCTCCAATTTTGATTGAATGATTGACTACTATGGATCTGATTGGTAGTGTGATGATTGATTGGTGACGATTGACGTTTGATGGACTCAGAGATTGAAAGTTGACGCTAAGAAGCAATTCGGATTGATTGGAGCATTTGCCCAGTAAGAAAATGTTGTAGTCAAACGTCGTAATACTCACGTGGATCAAGCAAAGATATTGTATATAAATAGATAAAGATTTGCCAAAGTTGTCCAAGTTGGGGTAAAAATGAGACTAGCTCGATGTTTTCGCTCAGTGCAGCTAACTAAATTCACAACATTTTTCCACCTGCAAATGGCGCTGGGCATTGTACATGGCGGGCCGTAGGTGTGAGTGTGTGTGATTGTGGGTGGGCGAAGGGGCGTGTTTGTTTACCTTAATTATTACACACATGCCAAAAAAAGAGTGAGCCAGAGACAGAGGTAGACAGAGACGGCGAGAGCGAGAGACACGCCTGGTTGTTAGCAATTAACTTGGCATTACACAAATTTTTAATAGCATACTTAATGACGCGAACGAGCGCGCGCGCACGCCTCTCTCTGCGCTTCTCATGCGGCTGCTTGGCTCGAGTCTCGAGCAAATTTAATTTGCGCCCTACCCAATTATCTAACACAAATTGCACGTATTTAATGTCAGTTGTTTGATGTCGCAGTCGCTGTTGCTCTTTCTACTGCTGCTGCTGCTGCTGTTGCTGTCAGGTGTTGCTGCAACAGTATCTGCAACAGTTGAGCAGTCGAGCGCTCTGCGTGCAGCTTCCTTTTGCTCTCCCTCTTGCCTTAATTTGCTTTGCTTCATTTGTTGCGCTGTTCGTCTTTGTGTATACCCTATAATAGTTGCATGGGCTAATTGTTGATGGGCTAAAGTGTAATTATGTACCATATCAATATCAGTATCTAGATAAGAGTCAAGTTAGTCCGTCTGCTGTGCTTTCTCTCTCTCTCTCTCCCTCTCTCTCTCTCTTTCTATACTACTCGATGCTTAGGGTATTTTGTAGTCAGAAACACTCAACTGCATCTTTACATCCTCACTTTGCAAGCGGTTTTGATTTAGATTTAAGTTGCGCTTTGATACCAACTCTGTCGTCTCTCTCTCTCTCTCTCTCTCTCTCTCTTTCTCTGTCCCCTTGCCTCTCCTCTGCCCTGTCCAGCTCTAATCGACATTTTAATGCTCTGTAATTGCCCGACTAAAGCGCAAAGCCAAAGCAAAAGCTCCACTGTGTCTGACAGCAATTTGCAAGATAAACAAATCACACATACGCACACACACACACACACTCACACACACGCTCGCACACACTCACACTGCTTAATACTATAAACAGCTTTAAAGCATTTAATTCGCATCTGCTTCTCTCTGTGCGCCTGTAAATGTCAATTAGCTCTTAAATAATTGCTTCAGCTGCTGTCAATGTGCGAAAAGGGGCGGAGAGAGAGGAGGGCGTGTAGCCTACTTTGCAGCTGAAGGCTCTCAGAGCTACTAGCTGCAGACAGTACGCAAGTTGGCTTGCCACATCTGAGTTCTCAATGGTGAGCGCGAAAATGAAGCATCCATTGGGCTGATCCAAAGTGATTCAGCTGAAGCAACTTGTTGAATCGCTCTCTAATTATGGGAGAACATCGATTGCATTTGATCTTGCTGCATATATACCATAATATGCTAGAGGGAGAGGGAGATGGAGATGATGAACTCAGCTTAAAAGTTTCTCTGAAAGTAACTAATCATTAATCAACTTAAAGCTCTTGGACTAAGAGCTTTCATGTGCCTTGCAAGCTCTTAGCTGTTGCTTAATTGAATTTGATAGTTTTAATGGAACTTGCTTTATCCAGCACTAAACAACCGTTAATTACGAATTCCTCACTCACTTTCTCTCTCTCTCTCTCTCTCTCTCTCACTCTCTATTGATGGTTGTGACATGTGACGTCTGGTGTGTTTGTGTGTGTGTGTGTGTGGATCATTTCTGCATACAGAGCTTAACAATTTTTTCTAATGGCTGCAATCAAAGTTTTAATTAAACGCTTAAAGAGCGAGCGGACGAGCGTCAACAAGAACCGCAAGCACAACTAACTCCAGAGCCACACAGCAGAAGCAGAAGCAGGAGGAGGAGGAGGAGGAGTGCAGAGCAGAGGAGTGGAGAGGGGAGACGAAGAGGGGCTGTAGAAAGACGGGGCACGTTCGTGGTTAATGGAGCACAGGCGACCCAAAACATAAACAAAAAACTTCTGCTGCGATTTTTAATAGTTTTTTTGTTTTCGGCTACTTTTTTTATGCTTGCCGCAACTTCTTCTGCTTTGTTTTTCTTTTTTGCACTCGTTCACGTAAAGAGCAAAATGGCAAAGTGAGTATATTGGTTTTCTCGCTTGTGCAGAAGAGTCTTCATTCCGTCATTCCATCCAGTCTCTGTGCTGAGCACTTTTCCTCTATCTCCATGCACCTGCTTCTGTTTTTCCCGCCATCTCTATCCCTATTCATCTTTTTCCGTCTCTATCAACCGTAGCTATCTTTCTCAATCTATCTTTGTCCGTCTCTTTCATTTTCTTTGCGCCTCTATCAGTCGTCATCTGTCTTCATTCGTATTCATCCTTGTCTATGCCTCTCAATCCATCTCTATCTGTCTCTATTCGCTTCTATCTACCTCTATCTGCCTTCGTTCGTCACTTCGTTTCACCATCAATTTCACATATTTCAAATCTACGTCCATAGGGGCGTGTCAGGCTATACAAAGACTAGGAAGTTCTCTCTCATTCTCACTTTCTCTCTCTATACATCTGTATGTACCTTACACTTATGTGGATCTATCTATTCACTTGCTTGTGTACCTTGAGCGAGTATTGTGCAGTCGCTTAGGACCCACTATAGCTCGACTGCTGCTGAATGGGGGCGTGGTCGTGTGTGGGTGTTTGTGTATGTGTGCCGTCGGCGACACTTAGCCAAATATAATATGGCTTTTATGTCAGCCACTTGCACAAAATTGCTTTGCCAGGCCAAAGGGCAGGGGCTGGGGTACGAACGGGGGGGAGGAGAGTGGCGAGAGGCAAGAAGCAGAGGCCAGAGACAGAGAGCGAGAGAGAGAGAGAGGAATGTTAGTTCTCTGGCCAGAGATTGGAGCCCAGAACCTACATCCACATTCGTCTTCTTCCTAGGACACTGCTCGCTTTTTACGTGGCCAACTCTAAAAGAAGTCAACGATTGCCGAGTGCTCGGCTACAAAATACCCTTGAAGCGATAAGTGAGTCAGAAGTTTTGCATGTGATTTCCTAGCTTAAGGCAGAAATATTACAGCAGTGTGAGTAAGTAAAGCCGGCTTTAGAGTATATGCCAAGTCTAATATACCCTGCCTACCAATGGGTATGTGTGAGTACAGGGTATTCCAAAGAAAGAGCGAACAAAGTAGAGTGAGAAAAAAAACTTTCAGCTACAAGCGAAAGCTGACAGATGCATCTGCAGCAAAGATGCCTCCCACCTCTCTCTTTCTATCTCTCTCTCTCTCTCTGTCACACTCTCTTCTGCCAGAGCAGAAGTGCATCAGCGTCTGTGTGGATTCGTGTAAACCATCCAGCCACCCGTCAAGTGACTTAGTTTGCTTCACATTCTGCTTGGGCGTTTAGATGAAAAAGCTTTTTGCATTGCACAGCTCTGTCAATGCAGCCGTCCAACCATCCAAAGGGTTGACTTTGAAATACCCTGTAGATTGCATGTGAAGATTGACTCAGGTGAGACTAGGATTTGTGAGTCATTCCATCAAAAACAAAAAAAGAGGAGTATACAGACATATACTGTGGGTGAAGAAGAGGAGAATGGATGAGAAAGAGAGATGGGTCAGAGAGAGAAAGATAGAGAGAGAGAGAGAGAGAGAGAGATGAGGATAAGAAGATAAAGAAATGTAGAGCGGGATTGAAAGAGAGAGATAGAAAGATGGATTTCTTGGAGTCACAAAGGAGGCACAGAAGACGTGGGATATACTTAGCGTTAAGCTCTTCAAAAGAGTTTCAAACTCCCAGTTGGACTACCCAACCTAAGGCCAAGTACGTGGTATTACAATGGGTGTAAAATATTTACGCTGCATTTTCTGGGGCGCTAACAATACGAGCCAAGTGCTTGCTAAGTGGATCAACATATCAACATTCTTAACAAATATGCAAAATGGAATATGAAATAAGCGAGAGAGAGAGAGAGGAAGAGAGAGAGAAAGGGAAAGCTCCCTCTGAGCTGAAAGGCTGTTGAATATGAGTGGATTCATGTAGAAGTGAAAAACTGGAATTAATTAAGTCAAACAATGCCTGAAAAGGCAGCAGAAATGAATTGAAAATTCACATTTGATTTGCTGCTGCATTCTAAATATCTCAATTTATCAATATTCTTTGCACATATCAGTTAGATTTTAATTGTAATATATTGAAAGGGCCTGCAAATCGAGGGCTGGCCATCGACTATTTTAATTAACGCGCCACAACACAGATGCAGGCCCGGATCGAGATAAAGGGGTAACCCAGTTGCCGTAGCTATTGTTGTAGCCGTGAATGCACGACAGCTCACCTGACAGGTGCAAGGGAAACACGATAAAGGAAGCGATGTCAGGCCGGGATATTTTTTATTAAATTTGCATTTCATTAAAATAGTTACAGATACAGATACAGATACAGATACAGATACAGATACAGATACAGATACAGATACAGATACAGATACAGATACAGATACAGATACAGATACAGATACAGATACAGATACAGATACAGATACAGATACAGATACAGATACAGATACAGATACAGATACAGATACAGATACAGATACAGATACAGTTACAGATACAGATACAGATACAGATACAGATACAACAGATACAGATACAGATACAGATACAGATACAGATACAGATACAGATACAGATACAGATACAGATACAGATACAGATACAGATACAGATACAGATACAGATACAGATACAGATACAGATACAGATACAGATACAGATACAGATACAGATACAGATACAGATACAGATACAGATACAGATACAGATACAGATACAGATACAGATACAGATACAGATACAGATACAGATACAGATACAGATACAGATACAGATACAGATACAGATACAGATACAGATACAGATACAGATACAGATACAGATACAGATACAGATACAGATACAGATACAGATACAGATACAGATACAGATACAGATACAGATACAGATACAGATACAGATACAGATACAGATACAGATACAGATACAGATACAGATACAGATACAGATACAGATACAGATACAGATACAGATACAGATACAGATACAGATACAGATACAGATACAGATACAGATACAGATACAGATACAGATACAGATACAGATACAGATACAGATACAGATACATTTGGACTTACCTCTCAGTATCTTCTTATCCCGATGTCCGTGACAGCGATAGCCTTGGCAGGCTCGCTTCTGGAGCAGGGAGGGGCAGTGCTTGCCTCCGTTTTGGGCTGCTTGGAGGACTTGGCGGGTGCGCGTCATCATGCCAGCGCCGCAGCTCTTGTCGCACTCGCTCCACGCCCCCCAGTCGCCCACCTGGCAGTCGAGCACTGAAAGGAGAGCAGAGCAGAGGTTTAAGTCTATGAAGACATCAAGCTCAAAAGCAATGCAAATGCAAGTACAGTGAAGCCTAGCTAAAGCAGTTCGTTTATGCGAATAGATTGAAGTGCATTAGCTTGCTATTCAGCTGCTGATGCAGTCTAGTTTACCTAGTTCAGGCAGGCAGGCTTCACTGTACCTGCTTCAGTTTGCTTCTCGTTTCTTGTCTTTCATTAAATATTCTTTTATTTATCTTTCCACAGCAATTGCTTTGAGGGAGTCGAATGTTTCATGATTAGAATTTCAGCAGCTTTTACGAATTTCTAATTCCGTGCTTTATCATTGCCTTTATCGGCTTAGCCAACACTGGAGAGTGCCACCTAGCCACCTAGTTGCATGTGGAATGTGTGGAAACAAAGAAAACATTTGTCATGCACTGCCGACTGCCGTGCTATTCACAGCGAGCCCACTGAGCAAATGTGGGACAAAGGATTTTTGGACGAAATACCTCGGGGCGGACTTTTGTTGCAGCTCGAACTGCAGCTGCAGCAGCTGCTGCTGTAGCTAAATACTAATGCTAAATGCAACGAGTGACGTTTCAAGTTTCTTAATTAAAAATTGTGCAGCTCCGGCAAAATTAATTAAAATCCATTTGCCTTGATTGCGTCGCCGCTGGCTATGGCCGGGCGAGCATTTCCAGTTTGGCCCTTAAAGGGCGCTAATGAAGCCACAAAGAGAGAGAGGGAGAGCGAGTGAGAGAGAGAGGGAGGGAGAGAGGGAGTGAGAGAAAGCGAGCTCCAATATGAATTGAAATATGCTACGGCCAGCCATCACGCTCCCTTACTTTGCCCTCTATCTCTCTCTCTCTCTCTCCCTCTCTCTCTGTTTCTCTCTTTCAGGCTGTTGTATATTCCAGCAGCTATTGCATTTGTTCAGTCAGAAATGGCAAAAAACTGTCTTTAAAATCGATTTTAACGGTATTTATCGATGCCATTTCCAAAGTTTCTCTCTGTTTCTGTACCCTGCATATATGGAAATTGCCAAATTGAGGGGCGTATTGGTTGCTTCTTCCATTGATATAATCTCTGCTTTTCCTTTTTTTTCGATTTTCAGGCATTTATTTGACAATTGTATTGGATACTTTTTCTGTAGACTTGCCTGAAAATAGGTCAAGATCTTCATGTTGTATGTATCTTATAAATAGACACAGATGTGAAATTTGTTTCACTTTACTTCTTCAATAGTTTTTCAGTAAACTTCGAGATCTTTGTAAGCACATTTAGCTTATGAGATGTGCGTAGACTTTTCCACGAATAAAGATAAATGGGTGTGGGGTATCTGCCCGTCGTGCACACCCCAGCTAGTGCAGTTTTACTTTGCTCTTGGCTCGGTCCGTGTATTAGGTTTAAAGGGCCTTTGCCCGTAATTTTGCACACCACACCACAAAAGCCAATTTATATTTTTCATTTTCATTTTCATTTCGCTGGGTTTTTCCAACAAGTTTTTCTTTTTCTCCGCCTTTGCTGAGCATTTTAGCCATTGGCTTGCTCGGCGCTCAGCGCTCGGCGCTTGGTGTGGCCGCGCCAAATTAGTAAAAACGAGCAAAATGAGGCCAAAACAAAGCGCCGGGATAATAGAACTAAGTGCAAGGAGCTGTCGCAGCAGGCGGCAGGGGGACGCACGCAAAGGAGGAGGCGAGCGAAGCGGAGCAGGAGGCGGGGAGGTAGAGGGCGTAAAACTAAAGTAGTTAAAATTATGATTGCATTGGCTGCCGGCAAAGTGTTTAGCATATTGTGTGCAGCAGCAGCAGCAGCAGGAGCAGCAGGAGCAGCAGCAGGAGCAGCAGCGGCAACAGCGGCAGTCATGAATGCGAATGAGAAGCGCATAGGGAGGCAGCAGAGAGTGGAGCCAGGAGCACAAAGCAAACTTTTGCCTCTGATCCGGCTTGTTGTGGCAATAAACGGCATAAAATGCTGCTTAGCAATCATGCCACTTGATTGCGGGGCCGAGGGTAGAGGGCGTGGCTTATCCTTAATGCTCACACTTCCTTGAGAGTTGTCAACCCGTTGGCTAGTTGGCCATTTGGCCAGTTGGCCATTTGGCATTTGGTTGTGCTTTTAGCGACAATCAAGTCGCCGTCTGCCCGCAGCTGCTGCAGCTCCAGTTGCAAGTGCAGCAGCTGCAGCTACTGTTGATTATGGCAGCTGCTCGCGCTGCCTGCTGATAACGATGACAATTATAGCAATGATGATGGCGATGATAATGACTATTACTATCATTACGATAATTATGCGACTGACTTGGTTTAATCTCCGAGAGTGGAGTCCCAAATTCCTGGTGCACTTGATAACAGCTGTGCGCTGTTGCCACACTTCACACTCAGCTGAAGTAGGAAGCAGCGTTGCCGCATTTCATTCGCTTGCTAAGTCAATATGGGCAGCTGCGAGTTAGGGAAATACTTCAATGAGACATAACTCCAATCCATTTAAATTTCCAACTATTCCTATTCTATTTTCCAGTACTCCATTCGATTGGTGCTTCCCTTTCCTTTTCCTATGTTTCATTCTCAGCCTTTCTTTGCAAATCTCACTTTCTATTTGAAGTTGCCAATTTCAATTCGCATTTCCGCTTTCCAATTCGAGCTCCCATTTCCAATCCCTTCCGCAAGTTCCATTATGTATCACCATTTCAATACTTTCTTTTCCAGCTTCCACTTCCCACCTTGAATTTTTAACTTTCACTTTTTTTCTACTTCCCAAGAATGAACTTTAATGCATGCCTCGCCTTAAAGTTCCTCTTTCTATTTCCACTAATATATGTAATTTCTACCTCCAATGGACTCTTCCAAATCCTACTTAAATTCCTCACATCCATCAGCCACTGGCAATTCTGATTTGCTAGTTCCATTCCTCACTCCCAGTCCAGAGTCCAGCTGCTGCATTTCATTCCTCCCTTGCACTCCACTTTGGTAATTCCACTTCCAATTTCCAAGTGCAACATTCCAGGCGCCAGTGGCACATCCCATTAGACACTTCTTTTGCATGTTGCATGTGGGCCTTGCTCAATGCGTCACATGTAAATGTCATTGTCTCTAAGCCTGTAAATTGCGCAGCTATTGCTGGGATCAGAATGCCGCATGCAATTACACAATGGCTCAGCCGACTGCATGGGGGGAGCGAAGGACGTTTCCTTGACTGCTGCTGCTGCTGCTGGTGTTGTTGGTGCTGAAGTTGCATTTCCTTGGGGCACACACACACGAGTTGCCACAACATAACTCAATGTCCATAGAGAAGGGCGCAGGAGAAAGCCAGCAGCAACAGCAACAGCAACAGCAACAGCAGCAGCAGGAGAAGGGCTAACAGCAACAGCAAGAGCAGCAGCAGCAGCAGCAGCAGTTGCTGACGCGTTTGCCTCGACACGAGGTTGCGAGAAATAAACACAGCTTGGTTATTTGTGGCCAGCGATGTGAAGCAAATGCCCCTAAAATGTTGCAGCTGTTGTTGTTGTTGCTGATTCCCAAAGAAAAAAGGGAAAACAAAACAAGCAAAGATCCTTTGCACAATCTAGTTTCCCTGTTGCCCGCTTTGGTCAGTTGCGTTTGACACTCGTCCTTTAAACCGACGAGCTCTCTCTCTACCTCTCTCTTTCACTCACTCTCTCTCTCACACTCACTCTCTCTCTCTCTTTCGCGTGTTTGTCTAGCCAAGTCAAACAATTGCTTTTGACAAACTCAAGTGCGGCAGATAAACAGATAAAAAGTCGCATCGCCCTTTTGTTTTCCACTTGGTCAATGTAAAGGAAAACACAAAAAACTCTCGTGAACTGCGGCAACAGCGCAGATCAGAAAGAGACGCGGACTTTTGGCCGTCAAGCACTGCATTGCTGCCACACTTCAGTCAAGTGTTTTTCATGCTGCAGCGCAGCCAGCGGACCTCGTCTGAGGCTGAAGGTAAGAGCAAGGCAAACTTGCCGCGAAGTGCGGCAACAGCGCTTCTGATTGTGATGAAAATGTATCTGTTGTCAGTCTTTCAGGTATTCTGTTATTATTCGAGTTGCGGTGTTGCCAAATTTCATGTTTGAATGAAATTTAAGTAAAACATCCGTTCAACAGCGAATGAGAGGAAGAGAGAGGAGGAGATGAAGGAAGACACAGGGAGAAAAAGAGAGATATATAGAGAGGGGAATGAAAGAGACAGAGAGAGAGAGAGTGAGAAAGAGATCGATATAGAAATAGACAGAGACTGTGTGTGTGAGAGAGAGGGAGGGAGAGATAAAAGAAGAGTGAGGGAGAAAAAGAGCGATATATAGCGAAAGAGGAGAATCGAGAGAGAGAGAGAGAGAGCGAAAATAAGAAAGGGATAAATATAGCAACACAGAGCATCAGGTAGAAGCCGTAAGGAAGTAAAGTAATTGCAAGCTGCCTTTAAGACTGCATTGTTGCCAAACTTCGGTTAGTCTTAAGTGCTTTTAGCTCATCTGAGGCATGGCTAATTCATCGTCTATCGGTTTCAGTTTCTGTTGCTGTTGCTGTTGCTGTTGCTGCTGCTGCTGTTGCTGTTGCAGCCAGGCAGAGCTCTGGCTGCTCTCACAAATTGCAGCCAAAGTTTTTGGTCAAAACAAGAGGCTTACCACCGACCCCCCCGGCACCACCTGAGCTGCCGTTGTCCGAAAGTTTTTGCAACCGAAGGGCTGTCAACAGCAAACAGAGGCGGAGACGAAACAAATTTGGGGAAGTAGATGATGCAAACTTTCAATAACTGATATTGTCGCTTTGCAGCGTTTGTCAACACTGTCAACAGCAGCAGGTGCCGAGGAGGCGGCTGAGCCGCTCATAACTATAACTGAAACTTCAGACTTGAATGCTTCAGCTTCAGCCAACTTTGCCGAACCTCACGAGTTGAGCGCCTTTGGCAGCGTTGCCAGCCTGCACAGTGTTGCCAGACTGTTGCCAGACTGTTGCCTTTGTCCGCCCGTTTCAAGTTATTTCAAATCAATTAGCGAAGGTCCGAGA